CTGACGGAAAACGTGGGAGACGCTTAAAAGTGATAAATTACACAATGCACTGTCAATGAAAAATTACTTTTGAAAGTACAAAATCTGAAAATTTTCCATATTCCGAATGGCCATCAGAGTCAACTGTACTTGAACAAACCTATTTTCAAGTAATTAATAATTAAAGGATGACACAAAATTACTATGGGCATTGAAAAAATGTTGCTACAATTTAGGATTACAATAAAAATAAAAATACCCTTACATTTTAAATCATGAACAACATATTATATGAAACACTGGTCCAGATTACTGTTGAATAAAAAAGACCATAATGCTAACCTGTTTCCGCCTTTCCCAATTATGTTTATGGCCTGTTGATTAATAAAACAGCATACTTTGAGGCTATATAAACACAGTTGTTATCCGCTGTTGTAATATTTATCATGTGACATAGGAAATAAACTGTGACGTTCTCATTACAACACCCTGTGTAAAACACAAAATTGAACACCTTAAAATGGGACACAATTCAATAATCATAATACAATTGGAAGTATATTTTTATATTTAATGAAGTTTAAAGTCTAGTCACTTGTCCCACCATGGAAGTTGACATTCAAAGCATGATTCATTGGAACAACTCTAAATGGCACAAAATACATTATTGTAAAATTATCTGTGTTTCTACTACACACCATATTTACTATTATAGAAATAATTAAATATAAAAAACCCTGTTTAATTTCATGTGCCTAACAATGTACATGTAACATGTAACCTAACAATGTAAAAATGGATAGACAACATAACCAGATTGGTAAGGCAAGATTACACATTTTATATCTATGTTTTCAGCTGGCCAAGAGTGTAAGGGACCTAATTGTTCCACAAAGTAAATCCCTAATTTATGGGAGGGGCAAGGTTCAGTATAAAAATCCTTCAGTTGCCAAAAACGCTGCCCTATTACAATACTAGAGACACCGTCCTTAACAATGTTACTCATAAGAACGAAACTGTCATCTATCAGCTTACAACAGTTATTCCCTAATTTAATACATAGAGAGAAATTTGGGAGAATAATCTCCTTGAATTGAACACAGCAGTCTCCTGACATGTTTGGTAATAGAGGACCTTCTGAATGATTGTATTTAAAAACAGGATATCCATCTGTTATGCAAGATTTCCGAGAATCAAAATTAATATTCGTCACCATTTCACTATATCTACGAACAAACTGCTGAAGAGACTTTTCGGGTTTGCGAATAAGCATTTTTTTAATGGTTTGCATATATTTTTCAAAAGTGAATGCACTACAATTATCCAGTGGACCAAACTGTACAACATCCTCTTTCAAATGAATAAGTGCATGTACATTGTGGGAAATGTACTTCTCACCATAAACTAATGCAAAATGCTGGACAAACCACTTTAAAAGTTGATCAGCATAGTCAAGGTATATCAAGTGGAAAACCTTACTCAACATTATGGAAATGGCAATACTCAGACCTAGAAAGTTCAGGTACAAGGTTTTAGGCAAAAGGCCTTTTAATACAACTGGACCTGTATAAATTAAGAATTGTCTCAATTCTGTGGCCTTCCACCGATTGGCTTCTGAAAGTGAGCGAGGTTTTCGAGCAAATTCTCTTGGAACAAATTTGGCTAAGTTTGTTAGTTTCAATGATATTTCTTCAACAATTGGATTAGATAGCCTATTAGGGCCTTTTTTTAAGGAAAACCCACATAGTGATAAGTTTTTTAACTACTCCTAAGCATATTAAATGCATGTAGTCTAACGGAACACACTTAACTAAGTCAATTTTTGGCAAACGAGTCAATATTACGAGTCAATATTGAGATGCCATTGTGGTATTCTTTCTGTTCTTGATCTACAAAACTAGTGTGTTCTTAGTTGGCAGTCAAAATTTGGAAAATAAACCCGGTTATCTTTGGTTTCTCCCTTCTGAACGCATCGTGTACAAGAAAAGTATCCTGAATGCCCCTTGGTTTTTAAAACAAAGGATTTAGCAGACGCATCACAAATTATTCCAATAATCTGCAAATGCAAGTATTTGCCACTTTCCTCATGATAAACCCCTGAATCAATTAAAGCCTCAGCTTCTTCAACAAAATCTTTTAGATAGTCATTAGAGCACTTGGGTTTTTCAAACCCGTGGTAAACACCAACAGGATAGACCTGAGACTGTTCAAAACCTGGCAAATTGACATTGAATCTGCATAAAATAGGCCAAACTTGGCTGTTGGACCTTTTTGAAACAGGCAAACCGTCTATTCCAACAAACACATCAATATATTCCGGTACTGATTTCCCTAGAGTTTGAATGAATAAATCAAAATCAAAACGCAAACCAAAATGATAGTATTCTCCTGGCTCCACCTTTCTAATGTTTGTACAACGTGGCGTTTTCAACAAAGTTCTACTATCTTTTGGCAAATGGGAATACCCAGATTCACTCCTTATAATACCTAAAAGTGGATTAATTGAATTGTGATTTATCTGGCATTTAACTGCCCGATCTGCAAGTTTATTTACAAAAACATTGCTACAACTACTACTAGTGTCTGGATCGTCACAATTAGATGAAGAATCTGAATTGTTTGGTAGAGATTCGTTTAACTGTTCACTTCCACTTTCAAAAGAATCATCTAAAATAAATCATAAATCATCATCCCGACAACTTTCTAGGTCTGGTGGTATGTTTCTCTCAATGACGGATGGATTTATTTCATTAGAGTCTGTTGAGAGAGGTAACATCTCAGATGAGGGCTCGGTTGGGAAATTAATATTTGAAACATTATTACTAAGAATCTCATTTTCACTGCTTTGACTACAACTCTGAGATTCATTGAGACACCTACAGGTTTCCTTTCTAACTAAGCGATTAAAATGTCTGGATGAAATATGCTGACGTTGCTTAACATTAACTTTAGGCATTTTAAAATACAAAGATAAAATGTTCCCTTAGCCTATAACAAAATACTCTTGATATGATTCTTAAAAATAGACGACATACAATTGCGTTGAGCTTTTAGCCATCGATAGATATCTTCAGTCTGCAATTTCTAAGGCTGTGTCCTTGCTGAAAAAGAATGTAAATATGAGATTGAGTGCAAAAAATAACATGAATGATTATTGTTAGACATTGCATATAGTTTCTAGTGTTTAAAACTAAACTACGTTTCGATAGGTAAGAAAATTCATTCCGTTTTAAGTGGCGGCTACCTTATTTACGTACATTTATTATTACTTTAAAAAATTAAAAATAATAATAATAATAAATGCACAAATAATAACTGTGTAATAATAATGAATGTAGGTTAAGTAGTGCCACTTGAAAACAGATGGACTTCTTTTTGCCCTCTTTTACACAAACGCTAAACAAAACGAAGCTGTTTAGGCTATATGGGAGCTTTCACACCAGTGCGGGTTCACCCGGACAGACCTAAACCTCTGTCATGGTTGAAAATCACCCGCACAAACCTAAACTTCCAATGCGTGACGGGACCGGATGGCTAGTTTATAGATCATGGGCTCTTGTGTACGCTTTCACAATTGTGCAGAACAGGCTGGATTCGCCCGCACATTAATCAGTAATTTTAACAGTTTGCGTCTATCAGTGATTGAGTGTAATTCATTAATTCGGGCAGCTAGTATGAAAGGGCCTTCCGGGTCTTCCCGCATCAACGGTGCAGGACGATGCCGCACCACATTGTTGTGAAAGAAGTCTTAAATTCCCAAACCTAGTGTAGTTTTAACATTAGAATCGATAGGTAAGGTCTAACAATAATAACTAATAAGAAATCCATATTATTCATTATGAATTTTAAAGGCACAATACAACAAAAATCATTTAATTAGGCTACCAAAATGATCTAGGTATTTTTTCTTCATAAAAAATAATAGTTTAATAGAGCCTACTGCACGTATATACCTAGTGAAGAAAATACAAAGCTAAATACACAAAAATATTGCTATTACAATTGCCTTAGGTTAAAAAATTAACCTTTCTTTGGACCGACTAATACAAATTTCATTTCAGCCTTTTGAAGCATTTCAATAAAAACTCAAATATTACCAAACTGTGTTATACCGTACCAAGAGTGGTCACCTAATGCTAATAGTTACCGATTTTGGCGACGTAGTTTGGCCCGTTAACGCTTGGATCGCGGTTGTGCAATGCACTTCTGAACACTTTTTAATAATTTAGTATTAAAATTCATTATAAAACAACAATACTATTACGAAAGAAACAAATTTCATCAACAAAACACCATTTTATAACTCCTACAATGAGCACAATATTAAAAAACTAAGGACACTGCCTTACCGACATGCCTGAAATGGCGTAGTTCGAGCCGCCGATGCTACTCTGCAACAGCGCTGTTCAGGTAACGATAACCTCCATTGAGTGACCACTTTAGTACGTGTATAATCAATAAACATACTATATACCGAAATTAAACCTACCTTTTCTTATTCTGAAAGCGAAACTTTGCATGCCTCAGCCAGTCTTTTATCACACTCTCAATCTCGCTATCCGTGGCCTCTCGTGAGTTTTTGCATTGTCTTACTGATTCTGTAAAAAGACATAACAAGGTGGTCATTCTGTTATGTTCTGTACATGTTATGCACAATGTTATTATGATTTGTTAATCAGTATGTTCCAACCATTATTTACCTCAGCCTCCGGCCTTGGCAGCAAGCTTCGCTATGTTCGGCAGATAGCCTCAGCAATATATTTGGCTACTTCCACCTCTGAATTTTTATAATTTTAATGAATAGGCCTATGTGTTATGGTCTGAGTCAAGTTTGAGTTAAGACTATATGTATGACTATCAAGTCCTTAAATTATATAATAAACAAGATACAAGAGAATGTACAACCTATTTTATTCAACCATTTTAACTGAATGACAATTATATAAACACAAACATAAACATTAAAAACAATAACATAAATCATGTGTGTTAAGAAGTCATATGTTGATGACAACTCCTTATTAATCCTCCCCCTCAAATTTACACGGCCGAATGTGGTTAATGTGCCTTCTCCAAACCTGCCCATTGTCCATCTCCATTTGATAATGCACCAATCCTTCTCTCCTTCTTACGTTTCCAAATTTCCACTTTCCGTCTTTTCCGAAATTGCGCACCTGAACCCTGTCCCCCACCCGAAACTCTCTTTTGATTTTAGTACATCCGTCGGGCATTTCTGTGTGATCTTGGGGTCTCTTCATAAGATCCAGCCTTGTCCTTATTCGTCTCCCAAACATAAGTTCATATGCCGAGGACCCTGTCGCATTTGTGGCATTCCTTAGTGACATTAGGATGTGATTTATTTTGAAGTGCAAATCTCCTCCATCATTCTCCATTGCTATTAACTGTTTCTTTACAGTCTGAACAAATCTCTCTGCTTGTCCGTTGGTTGCAGGGTGATAGGGGGCAGAGAATTTATGTGTGACGCCACAAGCTTGTAGAAATTGGTTGAAAATAGATGATGTGAAGTTAGGGCCATTGTCAGAGACTAACGTGAACGGGTAACCAAAGGTAGAGAAGAGTTTCCTGAGCTGTTGAATGCACCAATTAGATGTTGTAGTTTTGGTTGGTATGACTTCAACCCACTTTGAATAGGCGTCAACGATAACAAAAAGGTATTGCCCATAAATTGGACCTGCAAAGTCGATGTGTATTCGTTGCCAAGGTCCTGATGGAACCAGCCAAGGATGGACATCTACTTTTTCAGGAAGATTCTGCTTCAAACAGCATGGACGACAAGACTTTGCTAGATCTTCTATGTTACGGTCAATGTGTTTCCAGTAACAAAAACTTCTTGCAAGATTTTTCATTTTCACAACTCCTAAGTGTCCTAAATGAAGTTCATTGAGTACTTTTCCTTGCAGTTTTTCAGGAATTACTACTCTGGAACCACGAACAATGCAGCCATCATGAAGTGAATACTCATTATTCTTCAAGCCAATACGTTCTAAATCCGTGCCATCTTGAAGTGCTTTCAAAAGAGGTTTTAGGTCATTGTCGTTTGATGTTTCATTTGCAATATTTTCATGTGTTACAGGCATTGATTCAATTTGATTAATGTAAAATGCTTCGTGTTGATCAATTTGATTTGTCGGTGGATGCTCATTAGGAAAGCGAGACATGTAGTCTGCATTACCATGTGATTTGGTGTTCCTATATTCAATAGTATAATCAAAGCCAGAGAGGAAGTGAGCGTAATTGAAAATACGTGTGGCAGTCATAGTAGGTAAGGTTCTGTATGGGTCAAAGATTGAAACAAGTGGCTTATGATCTGTTACAAGGACAAACTTTCTGCCATAACAATACTGGTAGAACTTCTTCAATCCCCAGTAAATCGCCAGTGCCTCTTTGTCTATCTGACTGTACTTTTTCTCACTTGCAGTGAGAGATCGAGAAGCGAATGAAATTGGCCGCTCAGTACCATCTTTGTAGCGGTGAGAAAGAACAATTCCTAATCCGACTGGAGAAGCGTCCGTGGCTAGCACTAAGGTTTCATTTTCATCAAAATGAGCAAGGACCCGGTCACTAGCTATCTCAGCCTTAACTTTTTCCACGCATTTATCACATTCTCTGGTCCAAACGAACTTAGTGTGCGCCTTTAATAGATTGTGTAGTGGATTCAAGATTGTGTTCAAATTGGGGATAAATTTCTGGTAGTAATTAGTCAAGCCCAGGAATGTTCGTAGCTCTGTCACATTTGACGGTTTTGGTGATTTTAAGATTGCATCCACTTTGTCCTTGTTCTTGTGTAGACCATTTTGATCTATAGTATGTCCAAGGTAATCAATTTGTGTTTGAAAAAACTTACATTTGTCTTTATTTAGTTTGAGGTTGTGTCTCCTAATGACTTTCAAAACACTTTCTAGCCTTGTTAGGGCCTCAGACTCAGTCGAACCTTGAATAATAATATCGTCAAAAAAACACTGAACGCCATCAATTCCAGAAAGTATTTTGTCCATAAACCCTTGCCATAGAGCCGGAGCAGTCTTGATTCCGAACATGAGTCGATTTACCTTATATTGTCCTTTATGTGTACTGATTGTTTGAAGTAGCGCACTTTCTTGGTCCATTGACATGTGTAAATAAGCGTTACTAATGTTTAGTGTACAAAAGTACTTACCACCACTCATTTTTGCAAAAATGTCCTCAATACGTGGAATAGGGTATTTGATGTCCTTAATTTGTTTATTTAAGGTCACTTTGAAATCTGCACAGATTCTGATCTTGCCACTGGGTTTCACGACTGGAACGATTGGAGTTCCCCAATCACTTTGTTCGACCTTCGAGATGATTCCTATTTTTTCCAATCTGTCCAGTTCTTCTTCAACTTTAGGTCTTAAAGCATATGGCACTAAACGAGGTTTCATGTAAACCGGTTTGGCATCTTCAAGTAGTTGTATATGACCTTCTACCTCGGGAATAACACCAATATTTTGATCAAATACATCTTTGTAATTCTCAATCAGTCTATCGATATCTGCATGCATGTGAGAACTTGTAATACTCCTAAGGTCAGCCCAATCTAGTTTAACTTCCCTTATCCAATCACGTCCAAAGATAGGATCGACATTCCGGTTGATCACGTATAGTTTACCAATGAAATCGTGATCTTTGTATGTGCATTTCACAAATACATATCCAACAGGCTCGAAAACCTCCCCAGTATAAGTACGAAGTTCCACTTTTGTTTTGTGAATGGATTTTTTCAATCCTAGATTCCTGTAATCCTTGTAAGATATAGTGCTCAATGCGGCCCCAGTATCTAGTTCCATTGTAATTTCATTTCCCTCAATGTTCACCTTCAAATTAAACTTATCTGAGTTTTTTGAAGATATTAAGTTCATTTCATAAGATTCATCTTCTTCAACTAAGACATCAGCTTGACATGTGTTTCTCAAGTTCTTAAATTTTGCCATGGAATTCTCGCTCAGACACACTCGAGCGATGTGACCCATCTTCCCACATTTTCTACACCAGTGTTCAGTAAATTTACATTTGTTAGCTTTATGCTTTTCGTCACCGCATCTGTAACACTTTCCCTTAAGTGATTGGAATGTGAATGAACTGTTGTTGTGTCCTGTAGATTTAATTCTCATTTCACTGTTTGTATTGAATCGTTTATTAGTAGGCTTTGAGATCACTTGATTAATTTCGGCTTTATGTTGTGAAGATGTAATCATTGTATTTTCAGTTTTAGATAGTTCCATTATCTTAGCAGTATTTATGACTTCCTGGAAGGTCTTGTCTGATTCTACTTGTAGTAGTTTTGTTCTTATCTCAGCATCTTGCAATCCCCTGATGAACTGTAAACGTAGCATAGTTTCAGCTGTAGATTTTCCACAAGTACATTTGAATTCACAAGGAGTAACAAGTTTCTTTAGTTCAACTGTAAAATCTGTAACGGATTCACCTATCATTTGCTCTCGTACTATGAAATTATGTTGCCGTGCCCAAACGCTTGGTTGAGGATCCAAGTATTGCTTCAATAAAGCTATAAGGTCATCATAATCTTTCTGAAGTGGCATTTCAGGTGCACAAATGTTGTAGAGCTTTTGATGTAACGTAGGAGGTAGGGCATTAAGTAGGGTGAATGTCTTTGTAGTTTCATCTGATATGTGTTTCAGGTGCATAAATACTTCAAGTCTTTTTGTAAAATTGTCAAAAGATTCATCTTCACTGAAAGGTACAAATGAAATATGGGATGTTGAAGCTGTATTGCCAGTAGAGTTGCTTGCTTCATTGATTTCTTGAGTTGTATTCGAAATTGAAATAGGTTTCAACTGCTTCAACATAATCTTCAACTTAATGAATACTTCTTCAATGTCCATCTTGTAATTTACTTCTTCATCCAGTTCTGTGTCGTTTATTATTAGTTCTATTTTCTCTTGTACTTCAAGAAATCTAGTCCATGTTGAGTCCAGAAGTTCTAGACGTTCGTCAACTTGCCTAGGATCCATTTCATGATTGTTCAGCTTGTTTGTTAATTTAGTCAATTGTGCCTTGATTGATGTTCTAATCCTTTTGTAACTGTTTAAATGTAATGTAATGTCAGTTGACTCCATTTTGGTTTTCCTCGTCGCCAGTTATCAAGTCCTTAAATTATATAATAAACAAGATACAAGAGAATGTACAACCTATTTTATTCAACCATTTTAACTGAATGACAATTATATAAACACAAACATAAACATTAAAAACAATAACATAAATCATGTGTGTTAAGAAGTCATATGTTGATGACAACTCCTTATTAATGACACTGTTAATTCTACAATTAACTATGCTTCTTTTATTTAAAGATTCGTTGCAGGGTTCCAAGAATTTTTTATTTGGGTACTGTGATTAGCAATTCGCTGGGTGAAAATGCAAGTGTTCCAACTCCACTTTCTCAAGTTTTGCAAAAACTTGAAAACAAACTTTGATATTCTGTTGAAATCACATGATTTGCACTATTTACAATTAAATAATTCCACTATATTTATTAGTAACTGTATTCTAGTGAAAATTTACCATGGCAACTTATTATGTGATTTAATATTAAAAAAATATGTGTTTTTAAAGCAATGTTGGAGATAGAACAGTTGTTTTTCATACTACTATGGGTACACCTGTTCTATCTCCAGATATTAAAAATTATTAGCCTACCTAACAGTGACTTCTATGTCAAAATAAGATATTTAGTACAGATCATATTTTTTTGAAATGGTATTTTGTTGATAGGTAAAGTAAGAAAACAAGTTGTTAAAATAAAGAATAATTTTATTATGCCGAAATGAAACAATACAATAGCACGGTACCTAGTAAAAAGAACATTAAAATACAATACAGGCTAGCAAAGGCCTACCGGTAATTAAAAGACAAGGATCTTTTCAAGTCTTAGAATTGACTTATTAATAGTTGGTTAGTCTTAGTCCTTCAAATAACAGCTCAGCTATTCGTAGTGTTCCGAAACAAAGTTTCATAGAATGCTTTGTCTACTGCTGGCATAAACTTCAACATCGACTGCAAGGCTTTTTTCTTCTCTACTTGCAGAATAGGTTTTGAAGTGATAGGGTTGACAGAGGGAAGGCTAGGTCTCGTCTTAGCTTGAGCTTGAGGGCTAGTAGTAGTTTTTTTATTTAGCTGGCGAGGCGATTTTGAAATGTTGTCACGCCCTCTCAGTCCATCTTTTGCAATGTTGCATTTTACTAATTCTTCATTTAAGAAACTTGTTTTATATGTTACATCAAATAATTCGGTATTGGTAACAGTTATTTCTTTAATCTTAGTGTAGGGGATGATGGAATAGTTTAGTGACTTTGAAGCAGATTGAAAATCAAAAAAGTCTGAGGGTTTCATTTGAATTATATTAGTTTTTGTTGAGCTTTTGTTGGCTTTGTTTACCAGGACCCTTACCAATGAAAGGGGACTGAATATCTCTAAAGGTTTTAACCACCTCTCAATTTTGCTATGTATTGCGTCGACTTCTTGGACAACTCCATGACCTGGTTCAGAAAAACGTTGTACAATTTCAATTACTGTAGGGTTTTCCTTTAAAAATGATTTAAGTGCCATGCTCATTATGGAGTTTTTGTTTTGTGGTACGCATGAATCGGACCACAAAACAAACTTTTTGATTTCTCTGTTTTGAGCAAATACATGGTTTAAAATTTTAAAAACCGCACTTGCAAGATGGTTACCAGCTCTACCTGAAATCAACTCATGCCAAACCATACAATATAATTCTATTTGGCCCTTGTATGTTACATGTGCTGTAAGATTGTAGCAATTTAACTTTCTTTTATAAAAAAAGTTTGAAACTTCGGCCTTTGGAAGAGCAAAAACATTTTCCAAGTCAAAAGCTATAGGGTGACCCGGGGCAATTCTGGCAGCCAGACGTGAACCTTAACTTTAACTGCTTGTACCGCGGTGAACATATTTTTCATTTTATTTTGACAATTACCATAGTAATTCTATGTTATTCCTCTAGTGTTTTCATATATTTAGACAACAATCTCAAACTCCCCTTAAGGGGGTTTGAGGTTTTTTTTTTTTGGAGTGTCAGATGCCAGAATTGCCCCAACCTTGGGGCAATTATAGCAATACCTTATATTTTCCTTATTGTTTAAATTGCTCTGACATTGGGGCAATCATGGCATAGGCCTAATTTAGCTGTTTAAGATGGTGTTTTAATTTTTGTTCTATCTCTATTTATAAGGAAGTTGTGAATAAACCGGTAAGACAGTACAAGCGTACAAGGGCCTTAACCTCAAAACTTCTAGCAACAATAAACAATAAAAATAATCAGGCTGCCATAGAGTAATCTAAGCAAAAGGTGTTTACAAAGCCATCCAAATGAACTGAAATGAAACATATTACACATAACACACGTTGTTATACAATTTATTCTTTAATTTATACATTATTTGTATAAAGATATATAGCTGCCATAATTGCCCCGGGTTCTTTGCCACAATTGCCCCATAGCATATGAAAATGGGGCAATTATAGCACCCATTTAAATTTAAATATCTTAAAGGGATAACTGCTATTACTATTTTTGTTCATGAAGTTTTAAGTCTGAACAATTATCTTTGAGTATAAAAAAAAATAAAATATAAAATTCATAGGGGAAAAAAAATTAGCCGTGTGCGATGTTTCGATATCCTCGGGCTGTGGAAGAAAGTCCTTTTTTAATCGCTAATAAAAATTACTGCAAACATTTTATTTTTACAAAAATGCTTTCCTATATATAGGAGGTATATGCTGAAATAACAAATATTGCTTCACTGATCTGTAAAGCTGAAATTTAAAAAAAATATAGGCCATTGCTATAATTGCCCCGTGCCAGAATTGCCCCGGGTCACCCTAAAGCAGGTATTTGAGTCATTTACAGCTTTTATTGACACAGCTCTGTCTTTGTCTCGAACAAGTTTGACTGCATCCTTTTCTGTTTTGTGTAAGTTAAATCTTTCTGTTTCTGCCTGACTCGGTTCCAGATTACATTTAAAAGCTTCACAAGTGTCGCAGCGATCTTTTTTAGGCTTAAAAAACTCTAAATTGAACTCATGGTTAAAAATATGCCTATAGAGTGACTCTTTTACTGGATTTTCTACTGATGCTGAGTAAAGTCGATACATTTCAGCCAGAGATAAATCCCCTTCTAGGTATTCTTTGGTACTATCTTTTCGACAATAATGAGCCTCTATGCGGGGAAACGAGTTAATGTGGTCACGAACCTTTTCCTTCAACTCATCGTCAATATGACTTTTAGTATTTTTACCTTTTAAAGGGGATCGGGCCGTACCTGTTTGAGAATCATACACATTCTGAAAAAAGTAATATATCCTCCTTTGACTTATGTCCAAAGTTTTAAAGAAAAATTCTTTGCACACTCTAACGCGCATATCTTTTTCAGTTCCCAAGTAGTAGAAATAAGAAAACTTCCTATTATTTTCGTGTAATGTACGAGACCTTTGCTTAGTGTGTCTTTCGACAAACTTACTATAAAAATGACTTTTACCTGTATCACTGAGGGACCAGAATTTGTCGTGAATTTGTTTTCTTTCATCAGCACTAACTTGTGTGTCACATTTAAACTTGCATGCTCCTTTGCAATCACCTTGAATCCGTCTAGCTCTGTGAACCTTTCCTTTTCTATCTTCATATTCTTTTCCACTCTGTCTTTTTCTCTTCCTTACTTCCATTTTCCAGTTCTTCCTACAGACGTTTCTTTTTCGGCTCCTAACTTTTTTTCCTTGGTCACACATTTCATCACTCTCACTTCCTGGTGAGTCACTTATTTCCATATCACTATCACTGTTATCAATGTTCGGGGAGTCACTTAGGCCTATTTCCATACCGGTAGCATTAACACTGTTATCAATGCTCAAACTAGCAACAGCCTCTTCATCATTCACTTTGCTTTCACGTTCTGCATTATAGATACTACAGACACCAGAACCATCAACTAAAAGCGTAACTTCTTCACCAACTTGGATATCGTCTATAATGACACAATTATCATTGTGATTTGAATTGGCGGTGTCAGGTAATCCTGGGTCATCTTCAATGTCACTAAAATAAAGAAAATAAATAAAAATAACTGTGTTAAAACTTTAATTAAACACTACTTTAGTAAACAAGACAGGAAAGCACAAATAAAAAAAACTGAACTTTCAATTTTAACAATAATTATGAATCACAGATTATGACCTCTTAGGCCCTATCGTACAGGTCACAACATTAAATGAATAGATCTAGGCCTAGCCTGTACTCCCAGATAATAACTAAAAGTTTAATAACACATTATTGGTATTGTTTGTGAAGCAAAATAACCTAAAACTTAGGCCTAACCTAAACAAAGTAAAGTCCAGAATATAAGGAATTAAAGAATATTCCTGTAAGTTTAGTAATGTAGGCATTCTTACCTTTCCATGAGGAATTCGTCATTTAATAGGGACATAATATTTTCTTCATCTAGTTTCGACATTATGTTAAATAACAGAAAAGTTACCAACATTATTAACTCATAAGAACATAACCCATTCTCGCAATGTCTGCAGAAGGACTGAAGACTAGAGGTGGGGAGCAAATAACGCAGCCGTTATTTAATAACCGTTATTGGACGATAACTGTTATCGGCAACAGCTGTTATCGAAAACTAGGAGTTATCGATAACCGTCAAAATAACTGTCTGCTCTGCTGAGCAATTGTTATTTTTAGTAACGGAGCGTTTGCCAATCGGTTTAAAATATTTTTATTTGTGTATTTTTGACATTAACTAACATTTTGTAGCAAATAAGATAACCACTTGGCTGTATATAATATCGGATTTGTTTAATAATCTCATAAAAGTAATGGTTATTGCCACTCAAGACTGTTGCTGCAGCGCAGCAAACACAAACACGGCTGCCTAACAACTAGAGTTATTAAATAACTGCGTGGTGTGGCAGCGACGGTTATTCAATAGGCACACAGGCAGCCATACGGCTGATCGACAACTGGAGTTATTAAAATAACTGCGAGGCAGCGACGGTTATCCAGTAGGCACAGGCAGCCATACAGCTGATCGACAACTGGAGTTATTAAAATAACTGCGAGGCAGCGACGGTAACCGTCTCTCAAACTGCCGCGCAACAACTGTGGCGCAGTAGATAGCCATACGGCTGATCGACAACTGGAGTTATCCAATAACTGCCTAGCGGCGACGGTTATCGGGCAGCCTGAGTTTCTTGCCAGTTGCCAGTACTGCTCAGCTCGGCTGAGAGTTATTTGATAACCGTTATTTTAAACAGTTATCGTAACGCAGCTGCTGGGCAAATAACAGCTGGGCATTTCTGACAGTTATCCCCACCTCTACTGAAGACTGAATTAACTGTATATTTGTATAAACAAACAATAACAATTTATTTGGAAAGCATGTGTTCCAACTCCAGTGAATACTCGATTCCTATTGGTCAGTGCCAAAAGTAGGGATGCATGTGTTCCATCTCTGGAGATAGACCACTAGCATTGTAATTTCTTCTGATTTTTTTGGAAATGGAACAAAGAGTAAACTGAGTTTTACCCATAAACCGACTGTTTTTTGTTTTTTTTGATGTTTTAACATAGAGAAAGCATTGCAAATAGTTCAAAGTGATATATAACTCAATTTCTCAAAAAAATGGAGATGGAACAGTTGCATTCTCAACCAGCGAATTCGGAAGTTTTTGCTTGTTGGAGTGAATAATCATATAACATTGTGGGCTAGGAGAGTGTGCAGAAGTAGGGACCGACACAAATTAGAAGTGTGTATAACGTTCAATACAATGTTACAGGTTAAATCTGACAACTTTAAAAGTTGTACCAGTGAGATTTCAGTAGGTCCAGTTTCATAGGTACTGTACTCGAGATGAATGTTGATAGCTATAAAGCAACTGCAATTTCCTGCTCTTACGGTATTAAATGTATATATATTATATAAAATTAAATCTCCAATATAAAACTGAGTATAGTGTAATCACACTGTACTGTACAGAGGTACAGCAAACACCTGTATTTGAAATGGTGTGCTGCCACTTTAGTTAAGGCAATCTAATTTCTGTAAATATTATTCAAAAGATTTTGTTTCTCATGTGGAAGTAGATTAAATTGTGATGTAATGTCAACTTCAATCAAATGTATATTATAAATGTATAGGCCTAAATTAATTTTTTTTAATTGAGATTGTGATCCATCATATTGAAAGATTAATTGGTAGTACTTAAAAAGCAAAAGTACGTTAATAGGCCTACGTTGTACAAATCAGACCCACCTTGATATCTCTTTTCTGGGCATACTTCTTTTTATTGACTACATTCAAGTCTTTCCCTTGATGGCAAGAGAATGTTCGTGAACTAAAGTACAAATAAGGTATATCATCTTACCAATAAACTCTTTGATTCTTGACAGGACTAACTGAAAAAAAAAAACAAATTAAATCAACATTTTCCTTCATAAGACCATTAAACTCTTTTCACTTCCTATGGTCTCTATTAACACCTAACATTGACATACAATTTTATATGCAAGTTTCTGTTCAAAAATAAATTTTGCCAGGAGTTGATTATAATGCAATGCTAAGGTTATAATTGTTAGAAATTTTATGGTGGAACCAGAAATAACTATTTCAACCCATGACTGTTTGTTTTAGTTTTTTTTTATTTGTATTTAAAACTATACTGCTATCAAAATTCATACAATATAATATAGGCTGGATGCTGTTTATGTTATTTATTGGCTGAATAAAGTATCTTTTACTTCTCATATAATTTGGTAGAAAAATATGATAGGCTCATGCTGAAGCATGCAGTTACCCACATACAGTTTAGAATACATTTAATTAATTTTAAAAAGCTACAGGTCTAAATCACATAGGTTCACAGCCAGATTAATAACCTGCCTAGGAAAAAGTCTAAATTGGCTAATATGTTCGGCAAACCCTACTACAAAGACCACCTCATCTGAGGCTAATTAGTGTTTTTGAATTGACCGGCTACAATTCCATTAACATTTAACCTTTTATTAGTTTAAAATTGTTTCTATTTAACCAAATTCAAATTAAGTTATATATTCAAGGAAGTATTTATGTATATTAGGGCACTTAGAAAAATGTAGGCCTACTGAGTATTTCATTAACACTCATTTTAATTTTAATCATCAACTTTTAACAGAGCTGTACTGCGAAAGTTATTTGTAAATAAAGTTGATACGAGTTGTACTTAGCATCAATGATTTTAAACGTATGGTTGAGCTACTATACAAAATCAATGCTAGCTTTGATTTTTTCCCGCATTAAAAACAAAGAGCAATTTCAGTAAGCCTAACTAATCTGTGCCTACCATTGGTTGCAAAGAAATGCCAGACCTTAAGTTTAGAGGAATTAAATTAAACCCATTCACTTCTTCATAGAGGTGGGGATAACTGTCAGAAATGCCCAGCTGTTATTTGCCCAGCAGCTGCGTTACGATAACTGTTTAAAATAACGGTTATCAAATAACTCTCAGCCGAGCTGAGCAGTACTGGCAACTGGCAAGAAACTCAGGCTGCCCGATAACCGTCGCCGCTAGGCAGTTATTGGATAACTCTAGTTGTCAATCAGCCGTATGGCTATCTACTGCGCCACAGTTGTTACGCGGCAGTTTGAGAGACGGTTACCGTCGCTGCCTCGCAGTTATTTTAATAACTCCAGTTGTCGATCAGCCGTATGGCTGCCTGGGCCTACTGGATAACCGTCGCTGCCTCGCAGTTATTTTAATAACTCCAGTTGTCGATCAGCCGTATGGCTGCCTGTGCCTATTGGATAACCGTCGCTACCACACCACGCAGTTATTTAATAACTCTAGTTGTTAGGCAGCCGTGTGTGTTTGCTGCACTACAGCAACAGTCTTGAGTGGCAGTAACCATAACAATTACTTACTTTTATGAGATTATTAAACAAATCCGATATTATATACAGCCAAGTGGTTATCTTATTTGCTACAAAATGTTAGTTAATGTCAAAAATACACAAATAAAAATATTTTAAAACGATTGGTAAACGCTCCGTTACTAAAAATAACAATTGCACAGCAGAGCAGACGGTTATTTTGACGGTTATCGATAACTCCTAGTTTTCGATAACAGCTGTTGCCGATAACAGTTATCGTCCAATAACCGTTATTAAATAACGGCTGCGTTATTTGCTCCCCACCTCTACTTCTTCAAGTCCTTTCAAATATTTTGTTCTACACGAGTAACGGGACTGGTCCCTAATTGTGTTACATAACAGGAAACGTTGTTGCAGGCAAGTTAATTTATAGGGAAAAAAAGTAATGATTGGAAGAGTTGATCTTTAAATGTGGTTCTTTTTCACCTTTATAGTTTAACAGTAAGTATTAAGCCTACATTTCACATAGAAATTTATTTCACTATGAAAGCGTTGATTTCCATAAAAAAAATAAGAAAAACTATAATAGGCCTAGGCCTACTCAAAATTAATATTTTTGTAACTTGAGTAATTTATTAAAATATAACCTACTCAGGGCCAAATTCTAACAAAAACAACTAGGCTGACAATTTAACCTAAAGGCCTATGCAGAGAATGATTCTCTATCCAGGCCTCCCAATACTGTTTATTGCTCTTACTTTGTTATCGGAGAGACTCCGGATTTGCTCTCTCAAATATCGTAGCCTAGGCCTATTGGGATTTTAGGAAGATAGGGTTGCATCGTGCCTAATTTTTCATGGGGTTTCCCCTATCTCCCTGTTATATTGGCACTTTTTCGGTGAAATTATGTTCCTACATGAAAAATACTTGTATAGCCTATACTGGCTCAGCATGAAAAAGTGAGAAGGTTAAAGAAAGAGACATTCAAAGACCAACTTTGGGTTTATTAGTAAAAATCTACTTTTGATTCCCAAAAAACTGAATTCCCTGGCTAAACACCTTACTTCTAACTTTTTACTTTTTTTAAATCTAACTTAAGTTTTCCACACAATTTCCTAGGCTAGCAGATTCGTATCCAACATCAAAGCGTTTTGAATACAAAGTTCCTATTTATTTGTTTTAGTACATACTGTGCATGAGGGGCCTACACAATGTAATGAATTATCAACATGGCTGGCGTCTATCCTATTTTTTAACCATTATTTTACCTTTTTCATAACGATCTTAATGCAAGTTAGGCTTCTTTCTCATCTTTTAAAATTTGGCACGAATAAGAAATATATATTCTTACCTTCTAAGTTATAACATAACTGAAGCAGATACATTTTATCGGCTCAATCCTGACTTACAAATCTGGCTCCATTTAAAAAGTAGTAGGTTTATTGAAAATAATCAGAACGAGTCTATTAACATGGTCACCGGGCACAGCAAAGTGAATAAGTGACGATGTAAAGCCGTGTCCCTTCGGCCTTCGATAATCGATTGCATAAACCATCACGATTCCGATAGCTGAAAAGTAGTCGATAGTCATGTGACGTCATTATAAGGTTTCTGTACATGTGAAGAAGTGGCCTCCAAGAGAATAGCAGCAGACGGAGGGGGGGGGGGGGGTTCACGACGATGGATATGGTAGGCATACGGTTAAATATTGACGGGTAGATATCGTAACTTATCGAATACTCGATATATCGAGTATCCGGTTAGTTAGGTTAGGTTAGGCTTAACTAACGAAACTTATCGATATATTGATCGATATTTTCATTCGGTTGTTTGTGCCAACAGATACGGAAGTCTACCCAAATGCTCCAGTCAAGTTTCAAGTTAAACTACTTTTTTTAATTTGCCAAAAAACAAATTCCAGTCTTACGTAAAATGTATTTAAATAAATTTAACTTCATATTATGCAAGTAATTGTATTATCATTCGGTGGTAAAAAACCATTTTCCAAATAAATGTTGCTGTTTTGACCAATACAATTTTATATCATAGACGAAGACGATCATAGTCATAGTGAAGGTAAATAAAGGCTACATGCAAAGAGTAACTTAGTTTACTTGTATACACTATACAGCTAACACAGAGTATAGAATAAATCGATCTGATATTTATTTAGAATATTTATTTTAGGATATTTATTCTATGATCTGTGGCAGCATATTATATGAACATATATTTTCCCCAGAACATAGACTGAGTGAAATAAAACAACAGTTTTTTGGTCATATAATAATATAATAATCCAGCAATAATGGTATACATGGTAACATCTATAAAACGGTATTTAGATTATCCATGTTGGACATCCCTAAACTATCCAAAAATATCTGTAGGTTATTATTAAGATGTTATAACATAATATACAGGGTGACAAAAAAGTCTGGAAACGGTTTAATATCTTTTTAACTAAATTCGTTAGAAAATTCAAACCTTTCACATCAACTTACATGTATGAAAACTACTTTTTGCAAGCATTGCCATTATTTGACCTCCCCCAGCGGACGGCCCACGAGAAGTAGGTACATAATCTTTAATGTAAGCATAGGTTGATATGCACATCATTTTAAAGGTCTGATCAAGTGGAGTTCATTGCCGGAAACCGCGTCAAAAAAGGTTCATCCGTTACAAAATGGCGGCAGTTCAAAGTTCTTGCGGAATATGCCTGCAGAGGCCTTAGTATTGGTAAATACTCATAGTCAACATTAGCAGGGAAATCTGAAACCCGGTTAAATTTGTTTTGAAGATTGAATACTATTAGTCTATGGGCTAGTTGACTTTAAAATATGGGTTAAGCTTTTAAGCTAATATTTTTTACGAGTATTTGCCCATACTAAGGCCTGTGCAGGTATATTTCACAAGAACTTTGGACAGCTGCCATTTCGTAACGGATGAACCTTTTTTGACGCGGTTTCAGGCAATGAACTCCACTTGACTAACCCTTTGAAATGGTGTGCATATCAACCTATGCTTACATTAAAGATTATGCATCTACTCCTCATGGGTCGTCCCCTGGTAGAGGTAAAAAAATGACAACGCTTGGAAAAAGTAGTTTTCATACATGTAAGTGATGTGAAAAGTTTGAATTTTCTAACGGATTTAGATAAAAAGATATTAAACCGTTTCCAGACTTTTTTGTCACCCTGTATATGTAAGGTTTGCCATCTAACATCTTAATAACATTCAAATATCTCCAATAACGTTATCTGGATATGTGTAACCTAATATAAACATTACATAGATATCGTGTGCTGTCTGGGATAGGTAGAGGTTTTTTGCAGACTTGCTTCCTTTTGTTTGTGCTAGACACCACTTTGGTTTCAAACTGTTGACATGTGCAGCACGGATCGTTTGTCACCTGTAGTAAAGCGATTATTTAGTTTGAAGTATAACAGAAGATATTTTAGTTCATTTATACAATAGCCTACAATAATAGCCAAGTCTGGACTTTGAACCTTCAACCCCCATCCCCACTCTGGAGATAGTGCGTGTCGGCCTTAAGCATAGTTTTATTCTTTATTGAGTACGTGTATAATATTGGTGACGAGGACGGTCGCATCCACGCGAAATTAATAAAACGTTATAATAAGTGGAACAGTTGATTGAAACTTTGGTGGATTTTGGAAAATTTGTGTCTCATCGTGCGTCCGTGCCGTGTGCAACAGGCTCGCCCAGTTTCCAGTGTGCCGTGTGCAACAAGCACATTGTCTTCTAACCGTTGGATTTGAACGAACAGTGCCGTGTGGAAACTTGAAAGCTTGAAAGGGATGGAAAGTTTTTAAGAACCAAGAAACGGAGTTGTTTGATACGGAACTATAAGTTTGATAATTATATGTCTTGAAATGTAAGGTATTTTATCTTAATTAGTAGGCCAAACAGCCTACTAATTTATCTAAGTATGGCCAAACAGATGATTGGAAAAGTAAGTGAGTTTGATAGTGAAGTAGAGAACTTTGAAAATTATGCAGAGAGGTTACAACATTTTTTTCTCAATTAACGCAATTAAAGATGAGAACAAAGTTTCATTTTTTGTTTCCATTATGGGACCAAATGTGTACTCAACTCTTAAGGATTTGTTACATCCCAAGAAGATTTCAGATAGTAGTTATAATGTTATCATTGACACATTGAAGACGCTTTTTGTCCCTAAGAGTAATATTGCATATGAAAGGTTTGTCTTTAACAAACGTCCACAAAAAGAAGTTTTCGGGTGATTTATACCTCGTGACATTAAACATAACAGTTTTGTCCAAAACTAAAGAATTTCCTCTTGTACTTTCTGACAGTTCGGTGTCGAGCAAAATTCGTTTAACTGTTCCCATAAATTCCTTGCACGTTGCGTTATTGTTGTTCCCACTTCTAGATCTGATATAGTCTTTCTATGTGGTCTTGGCTAACCTGATAAAGGAGTAGGTATTTCAAAGGAAAATCAGTCGATCCATCGCCCACAAACTGATTATAAAGACTGATTATTTATGGCACTATCTATGCGTATTAAAAATCCTAAAAACCGTATTTTTCTCTTGGATTGATTTTCCAAAATTATCCTTTAGAGTTTCAATATATTCATTACACTGATTTAGTTTTGTTTGTTGTTCAGCAAGGCTCTCTTATCATAACTTTCTCTCATACTTTTAGAAATGAGAATATCAAACAGACTGTTAAATTTTAACAAACTCAATTGTAGGGCCACAATTATTAAAAATTTCTATTTTATTACATAAAAATTGAAGTGATTCAGAAACGGAAGCACTCAAAACCTGAGTGGCTAGTCACACTTTTATTTTTTTCTGCTGTAATTAATATGGTCATACTCAGCCTGTTACCTAGATGCAATCCTTCAGTTTTGTATGGTATGTAAAACTGTTCAATGTATCTCCACTCTACAACTTCGCCTCTGGAATCTATAAAATTTTTGTAATCTCCTAATGTATTTCTGACTAACTTTATCATGTGAGCACCCCGCTCACATGATCCTACAAATAAATGAATTGGTTTATTGGAGATCGGATGAGGGAAATTCGTAACTGAGTTTGGGGCTTCCAAGGAACATCCTAATTTGGTAGCCATAGACAAATTACAAGCTGTTCCATCACAAGTCAATGATGCTACTTCAACGCCTGAATCGTGTAGAAGTGAAATGCATTGTTTAACAAATGAGCTTTGTTGGTCACCACTAATGACAGTGACAAAAAAAATAGCCGACTGGGATTTTCCAACTAGAATTAATGAATACTAAATAAAATACTAAAGCTTTTAAAGCTAAAGCAGTTGAGTCGTCATCAAGCGTTCAACCTATATTAACCGTTCCATAAAATTGTTTTCCATCCCAAGATTATTTATTTTTAGCCACGCAATCCATCATTAATGAGGCAATTGGTGGATGCTTAGAATTACTTGAATATTCTTTTAGTGCTCTTAACACTTCTTGGGAAAATCCTGGTTCG